ACTGCCAGCGGCAAACGCGAAACAAAGCAAACAATAATTTCCCTCATATATAAAAAGAAAGCGAGGACATTGGGCGAAGGACTCGCAGTTTTTTGGGCTAAGTCAAAACGGATGTACAAATTGCAAGGCATAATTCAAATTGCTTGACTTTTTGACAATGACTGCGCCAGTTTGGCCACCCACTCCCTGTGTTCTCTGGATAGCCTGTTATCTTGGCATATGTGCCATGAACTGAAAACTGGCGCCATTCACTTGCAATATATTTTTGCTATGCTGGGCTATTTATTTAAACCCTCGACTGCACTCTCTGCGGAATTAAAGGTTCTCGATCCATAACCACAGTGCGTGTGAGTCACATTAATTAGCTAAACTGCCAGAAAGTGCGCTTAAAAAGCAATTAAATGTGATTAGCATAAGTTGCCCCTCTACTTGCCACATTTACTCGTATATTTTTGCTAAAAATTGCTAAATACTTTTCGGCTTGTGTGAGGGGCACACAAATCGCTGCATATTTCCAGGCTGCCATTAGGTTCGAATGGGTTCTGGCGGTTTTCTGTCCTGGCCTTAAAACCATTCGACTTAATTAGTTGGCCGACGCCAACAGTCGACGCCCCCGACTTGTCTTTTTCCTATCTTTTCGGGGGCCGAAAAACTATGAATTTATTTGACACTTGAATAAATGCGGTTTTTGCGGCAGCCAAAAACGACGAAAAATGGGTAGGAAATATATTTTTCAAAATGGATTTGCTAGCAGCCAAAAAGCTCATCCCTATTTCCCGGGTGTCGACACACATGGTTGATATATAACCCATGTCGAGCTCGAGCTCTTGTTCCACAGTTCGATTCACAGCGTTTCCTGATTTCCTTGCTCGAAGTCAGCACTTTAACATCAGCAGGGGGATTCCCAGTTGGTTGGGAGGCGTGAGTGTACTTAGCGTTTTGTAAAATGTCATTTCTGTGCCCTCCCTAATTTATGAATACCGCTTCCAGGCGGTAATTGTGATGTGTGAGTGTGGCATTTGGTGTAGAGTATAGAGTATAGAGTGCATTTTTGGCAAACAAAGGACCAACGGGCAATGATGTCATCTGTGGCTGGAGTTTTGGATTAGAAGGTGACTGACTTTGAAAACGTCTGATGGTGAAATACCCATCTGAATTCTTTCTAAATTTGTCTTAAAATTAAATGCTTAAATAAAAATGTATAAGTTATGTAAAGGAAAATATATATTTCTCTTCTAAACCTAATAATGTTTAAAAAACTACAAAAAATATTACTACTCAATAATTGCTGTTCTTAAAGTAAAATGAACTAATTTCTGTGCAGTTAAAAGAGAAATTAAATGTTCTTTAAAAATAAAAACCTAATAATAAATCTAATTTGTTTAGCCAAAGAAAATAAAACATGTTTGTCAATCGAATAATGACTTTCACTTGCTAGCTACCTAAATTACACGACCTTGCACACCAAATTTCCAGTGTAGTGCACTTAAAAAGATAGATGGGTCTTTTTAATTTGGCCGTTTCTAGGCAAACAGCAGTCAAACCATCGGGCACACCAAAACTGATTCATCGAAATACTTGCGAGTAGCACATATTATGATAACATTATAATCTGCGCAGTGTTAACGGCAAGTCGAACACCTTTTGATTGCCGGCACTTCTATATATGCATGTCATTTAAATTCAGCGCCCTGTCCGGCGAAAAGTTTGCAATTTGCTCCGTGACCACAGTCCGTTCGAGGGAGTCGACCGGATCGCACACACCTATTCTGTGCCCGAGCAGTCAATTAGAAATAGTAAATTAATAGAAACCGAAATGTTTTGCGCCTTATTAACGTTTTTAACATTCATTGGCTTCTATGCCCTGGCATCTTATCTCTACGAGCAGCTAAGAACGCCCTACAAATTGCTGAAAATTCGGTATTTTAGCGATAGTAGACCCACCCTTAAGGAGCGTTATGGAGATTGGGCTGCTGTCACGGGAGCCAGCGATGGCATCGGCAAGGAATATGCCAAGACTTTGGCCCGCCACAACATCAATGTGGTACTGATCGCCAGGAACGAGGAGAAACTGCAGGCGGTGGCCAAGGAAATTGGTAAGTCAAGTGGCGGAGAGATTAGGACAGGTTCTGAGATTACAATAAAATCAACGGTTATCAACGGTTTTGTCTGTCTGTGAAATGTTGTGGCCAACTTTCTTGATCAGTAATAAATTCTAAAGTCTTTTAAAATTAGTTCTATATTTTTTATAGCTCACTTATTACTCATTGTTACTGCATTAATTATTTAGCTTTGCATATTTTTTGCTTTTTAATTATCTGTTATTGCTTCCGTTAGATGGTGAAATGTATAGTTTTTGTTCAAATAACACGACACTTTTGATGAACACGCAAAGCTGTTGTCAAAATTATGATCTGATACCAAGCGATGAGTTTTTCTATTTTTATTTTCTAATAACACAACTAATTTCAGCTGATATAAGTTCTGGTGTGCAGACAAAGATTGTGATCGCAGACTTTACCAAGGGCTCTCAGGTCTACGATCATATTGAAAAGGAAACGGTTAATATACCCATTTCTATACTTGGTAAGTAAATAAACTAGCATAAGCTAGAAATATCATAATTGATTCTTATATTTTCAAATATTTGTATTATATAAAACAAAAAATTGGTAGTTATTTAAATACTGTAGATATATAATGTTTTTAATTGAAATAAGATACAAATCTAAATGAGAAAGAATAGGATGAGGAGTCATAAATTAAATTTTATATATAATGTACAGCATTCCTGATTAATAAACTTGTATTTGTAAACTAATCCACAGTGAACAACGTGGGAACCGGTGCACCTACTTCTTTGCTGAAATGGACCCAGGAAGCAACGCAGAACATAATCGACACCAATGTGGTGGCTGTTTCGCAGCTGTCCCGCCTCTTCTTCCAGCGAATGAAGGCGTCGAAGATCAAGGGCGCTATTGTGAACGTTAGTTCCGGAACGGAGCTACAGCCCCTGCCCTACGGAGCTTACTATGCCGCCTCGAAGGCGTATACACGCAGCTTAACCCTCGCCTTGTATCACGAGGCCAAGCCGTTTGGCATCCATGTGCAGCTGCTGTCCCCCAATTTCGTGGTCACCAAGATCAACTCGTACTCCAGGCAGATCATGAAGGGCGGTCTGTTTATCCCATCGGCTGCGGCTTATGCCCAGAGTGCGGTTGATCAGCTGAGGGATGGAGTGGACGAGACACCGGGTTTCCTGTGGCACCATATCCAAAATGCCGTGGCCACCGCCTTCACGTGGCGTGTGCGTACCTATACCGCCACCAAAATCTTTAACAAAATATCGGACAAGTAAAAACAGGAGTAAAATGTTAAAACTATGAAAACTATGTATTTAATGGATGCGACTCGGCTTAAGAAAATGGAATTCACTTAATTCACTTAATCACCCTTAGTAATTGAGTGATTAAAGAAAAGCAGTTTAGTAAATAAATTATAGCACACTTTCTGGCGGGCTTTCAACTAAACTGGGTTCGTGTCTCAACTAAACAGTTCAAAATTTGTAACTTCAATAAATGTTTTGAGCTTTCTCTTTTTTTGTGTATAATTTGTAGTTAGCATATACATAACTACACAATAATTGTAAATAATTTTTTATAATTTACTTAAATATATTTAAACTGCACAATTGTTTTTTTTTTCAGTTTAAATTTTTACTAGTGTTTTGGTTTTCTTACTTTACTTTTTAACTTAAAACTAGCCTTGGCTTAAAAACGGACAAAATGACAGCACTATTTACATTTAGAACTTTTGGGGAAAGCTCTGGGACTTCCTCGTTGAAGAAATTCTCCCGCCGTGTTCCTCAGTCTAAAATCAATATTCGGCTCGACAGGCGGCAGCCGACAGTCCCATACTCATAAAGTATTGATTATATTTTTGGAGTTTGGAAACTTCAATAGTTGTGTTCGTCCACAGCATGTGAGTTTACTTATTAATATTTTTCAATTAAAGATACAATTTTTCGGGTTGTGGAACATTGCTGTTAATTAGCTGATAAAGCTGTCTATAGAACTTTGGAAAACCCTTTGAGCACTCAAAGAACCACCAAGTGAGCAACAAGTTGAAAAGTGTAATTTGTATGCGATGACCAGTTTGCCCTTCTCAATTGCTAAACGTTTTGGTTTGTGTGTTGCTCTATAAAGTCGCACTGTTAATTCAGTTTTTTAAAAATAGTAACGTAACTAAATTTATATTAATTGTGGAAGACATTCACACCCCAGTGGTCAGTAGTTTGTGGGACATTTCCTATTGCCATTGTAATAGAGTACTCTTTTTTCATGAAGTTTGCGTAATGGATTAATACATTAGCTTAACCTTTGCTCGAGTTACCGATGATGTTCATTTTTGCTTTGCCTTTGTAACAGAAAATTATGATAAGAAAGACAAATTTTTGGAACTTACTGAATTTTTTATGGCAAAAGAGAACTGAGAAACATTTACTTCTCTTGTTTGTTCGGAAATGCATTTTTGTTTTGTTCCGTTCTTGATAAGCGCAACTTATGGTAATGAAATTGTAAAGATAACAATACGGAATTGTATATAAATATTACAGATAATAGAAGGCATTAAGTAAAAATATAAGAACTATTGTATTTCGTATAATCAACAACCAACTAGCTTTGTAATAATAACGAAATTATTAAAACAATACAAAATCTGTAGAGTACATGATTTTTTTTTAATTCAAATTTTCATATATTTTTAATATAATTGATTTTTAATAAAAAAAGTTGAAGTCAATCATATAAAACTAAAAACCAAAGAGAAGGATGGCAAAGCAAAGAAATCTTAAATATTATATAAAGATGCTTCGCAAAATTTTTAGAAATGATACAATTAATTATTTATAAAAAACTATTACCTTATTTTTTTTGAAAACTGTATCAATCCCAGAGCATTTAGCGACTTGCAAAAACAGAGGTAAGGGAAAAACTGTGTAAAAAAACTGTCACTGAGGGCCAGGGGTCATTGCATGACAAAAGACAATTTAACACATATTTCGAATAATTGTTTGCAATTAGTTCTACACCGCTAGTAAGCTGATTATGCACTTAGTAAATAAGCCAACATTACGACAGTTCACAGCGGGTGAAAATGCAAACCGTATGAGAGGTTCATCTCTTTCGCGGCAATTAAATGTCAAATAATTCACCCGGCCAAGACACACGAAGTTTTTCAACAGCTTTAGGCCGCAGTAAAAGGCAACGAAATTAAAAATAAAATTTAATGAAATAACAAACCGACAAAAAGTGAGTAAAACCGCGGAAAAGAGCCCCCAACTGCAGTGGCCTTTCCGCTGTAAGTCGCTGTTGTTTTCTTAATTTTTTACAACTGAAGCTTGTTGAAGACCCGATCCGAAACAGAAAACCCGAAAACCGAAAGTCCGAAAATACGAAGCCGCATTTCCAAGTGTTCAGTGCGTGATCGACGCTCAGACCTGCAACTTGTGCCTCCGGAGGAAAAAAGAGACAGACAGACAGCGCGATAGTGCGAAAGTCGGGCGATTAAAAGTCGGTGTTGTAGTAAAACACAACGAATCATTAAATAATCAGCATAAGCGGGCAGTGATAAGCATTTTCTCTTATCACCAACCAAAAGTGGTTACCTTTTTCCGACTATATAAATAGAACTTTCTCAATCATGCAGCAAGTTCTGGAAGTGAGCATATATACACTGCTCAGGATGGCGTTTATTTGGCAGCTGATATCCGCGGCTATCTATATAGTGGGATCCCTAACTATCGCCGCCTTTCTGTACGACAACCTGAAGTCCTTGATCAGTATCATTAAGGCCGTTCTGGAACCCTACTTCCAGCCCCAATTGCCGAAGACTCTGATCGAAAAGTTCGGCCAATGGGCAGGTGAGTGATTCGATGTTACATGTTACATGTTATTCAATCCGATATTTGCATACATTAGCCACACGGTTTTGTCAATATTTAAGGTTTGCGCTTTTGGTTGCTTGACTTTCACACATGCAAATTGTTTACCTCGTTTCTTGAGGCAGTGTTTTGCTATATCTGCCATATCGAAACATTCAGCACTTAGTCAGTCATTAGCTAATTACACATCCCTTTAATATTAATTAATGACTATTGCTTATAAATCCGATAGATGTCAGTAATAACACATAATGTTCAGTTTTAATAAGAATATCGTGTGTTTATTTCTTCAATTAGACTAATCGATTTGAGTAGTGTGGTATTTTACCATATTTTAATTTTTGGTATCTGTTAAGTTAATTTTAAAATGGTTTGTAATTGTCCCATATGATATATGGTATGAGTTATTTAGCAATAATAACTCATACCATAACTTCCACGACTACTTATTGGAACGTTCGCCGAAGAAGTTCACGAAATCTATTTTTGATTAGATAAAAAATTAGTAATCATTATGATTTTCCACATAATTAATACTGCCTGGACGTAAGGCTTAGTATTTCTTATCAAAAAGTTTGACGATATCAAAGGCACTAGTATTAAAAATTTGGCGTTGTTAACTTGAACTTTGAGTCTTGATGTGTATAATTGAAAACTACAAAATCATTATGATTTACGATTCTTTCACCATTACATATCATAACCAAAAGAAATATTTAAGTTTTGGAAGTAATTGTATTTAAATTGCCGAAACAAAATGTTCAATTATTACAAAGATTTTAAAAATATATATATTTTGTTTTCTATCTGAAACTTAAAATCATCACGACCAAATGGAAACTAAATAAATCATCAAGATAAGCAGAATATGATATTAAAAATATTTGTAATTTTGTAAATATAATTAAGTCAACGTATAATAATGATAACAATTTACTTTTCTGAAATATAAATACGCATGTTATTGAAGGATTTGCCAAAATAATTACCAAATTAATCAAGCAACTGGCTTTGTTATACCCTTGCAGAGGGTATTATAATTTCAGTCAGAAGTTTGCAACGCAGTGAAGGAGACATCTCCGACCCTATAAAGTATATATATTCTTGATCAGCATCACTAGGCGAGTCGATCTAGCCATGTCCGTCTGTCCGTCTGTCCGTCCGTTTATATGCAAACTAGTCTCTCAGTTTTAAAGCTATCTGCATGAAACTTTCCCAAAAGTTGTCTTTCTATTGCAGGTAGTATATAAGTCGGAACGAGCCGGATCGGACGACTATAGCATATAGCTCCCATAGGAACAATCGGAAAAATAAATGAAAAAAAATTATAACTTTGCTGTTTTTTAATTTTTTGTTTAGTTCTTCGACATATAGCAATGGTTAAATATTTCAGAATTATGGTTTAAATTTCATCAAAATCGGACGACTATAGCATATAGCTCTCATAGGAACAATCGGAAAAATAATTGAAAAAAAATTATAACTTTGCTGTTTTTTAATTTTTTGTTTTGTTCTTCGACATAAAGCAATGGTTAAGTATTTCAGAATCATGGTAAAAATTTCATCAAAATCGGACGACTATAGCATATAGCTCCCATAGGAACAATCGGAAAAATAAATGAAAAAAAATTATAACTTTTCTGTTTTTTACTGTTTTGTTTAGCCCTTCGACATAAAGCAATGGTTAAATATTTTCGATTTACGGTTTAAATTTCATCAAAGTCGGACGACTATATCATATAGCTCCCATAGGAACAATAAAAAAATATAAAATAACTATCAAATAATTGAGCTGCAAATCATCATAGCTTCAATGTTTTTAAACTTATACGCAAGTAAATTATAATTTTAATGTTTTCAAAAATGTTTAATTCTTGCAATAGCTGCAAGGGTATATGAACTTCGGCTTGCCGAAGTTTGCTTTCTTTCTTGTTTATATTTCGCTTTATGGACCACACAAAGTCATTCAACTCATAAACAAACCGGCTTGCGATTTTCTCAATTATTCATCATTTGGAGTTCGGTCTGTTTTTGGTTTATTATTCAGTTATTTCGCTTTCATTGACTCAAGTCTCGTGCGGCTCTTCGTGGTCTAATGGCTGTGAATTTTACTGTCGCTTTTATAATTAAATTAGTGGGTGACCTTCAATGGCACTGAGTGATCGACTTCTGCATAGTTTTCCTAATTGAATTCTGAAAAATTTTCAAACGGTTTTGATTCTTCACCTATCGAGGTGCAAAATCTTGGCAAAATAAACGGAATTCGTAATTATCGTACAGCACGCAAGCGCAACAATCGATTGGTGTTGCCGTTGTACTCTTAAATGTTGCTGTTGTCGGTGTTGATATTGCTGCCGTGTTTTCACGTTTCCGTTGCACAAATATTTGGCAACCGATAACCAGCTGCCAGTGGCAACAACGCTGCAATTGCCACGCAAGCCGGTTTGCTTCTGAGTGCTTCTTTGCGGCCAATTCCATTCATGATATTTGCTGAGGTTTCGGCAACCAACAACCGACAACTAGCGATGTGATTAAAAGAGGCCCAGTCGAATGCATCGGGTTAATTAGCGGGTAGATGTTAGCTTCGAAAAGGCCTTTTTAAAAGGTCTTGACATTATTCAGTTGCTAAAAATATAAGCAAACGAAAGAAAGTGACGAAAGTCTTCAAATTTTCATAAATCTTCCAGCATCGTATAGAAAATTGTTTCGTCATGTAATTTATATTGAGTTAATGTAGTTTTTTGTTGACAACTATTTACGGGAGGCATATATTAATATTTTAAGTATTTTGTATTATTTTTCAAAAGGTACAGAGCTAATTCTTAAAAGGTTAACACTTGTTGACTAAAAATGTATTAAGTTGTTCATAAATTTGATAGGTTAATATACATTTTATTTGAAGGAAATGATTTATTATACTCTTGAAACTATTGTTACAAGATTTTCAAACTTTTGAGTATCAATAACGTTTAGAAATATGCTTATTAAAAACTTAAAATTATCGGCTTAAAATTGATAAACTTATATATATGTCGAATAATTTATTATTTAGTTTCATTCATTTTAAAATGTATACTTAACTCTTATGTTCTTACATCTTCCTGTACAAATGTAAAAAAAAAAGTGGCTTTGGCAACCTTCGTACTCATCAAGTTTCCATTCGATTCCCTTCACTTTAGTGGTGACGGGTGCCACCGATGGCATTGGAAAGGAATATGCCAGGGAGCTGGCTCGTCAGGGTCTCAACCTGGTGCTTATCTCGAGGACGAAGGAGAAGCTGATTGCCGTCACCAATGAGATTGGTAAGCGTTGTTTATCCACCAACAAATACACAATTTGTATTAAATATCGAAATGCATTTTCAGAGAGCCAGTACAAAGTAAAGACCAAGTGGATCGCTGTGGATTTTGCCAAGGGTCGTGAGGTTTATAATCAGATCGAAAAAGAACTGGCAGGAATTGAGGTTGGCATTTTGGGTAAGTAATGGGTGAACAAATATATTATGTAAAAAATTTTGTCAGAGCTCGGAACCTCTTTTGCCCTATTCTATAAAAAAAAGTTAAATACATTGCTTAATTATTCGCTAATCACAGTCATTACTCCACATTTTTGTAGTTATTAACCGATATTTACTGTACAAATTCATAATTCATAATTCATCATTGTCAACAGCCAACGGCAATCAACAGTAGCCGCTTTATATTTAGGTTTTTATTTTTTTGTCACTCTTTCTTGTGCTGCTGCCAATGTCAAACAATAATAATAATTGCGTGCAATTATGACTCTGGTTTTTGGTCTATTGGCGAGGCGAAGAGTGGCTTAGGCGATGTTCAAGTACATAGGCGATGCGCTGTTGTTGGGGTTTTATTCGGCCGACCAGACTCATAAACGCTTCAGACTCAGACTCGCTTCAGCAATTTACATTTCGACAACCTTGCGAACGCCTCAAGGCACTTTTCATAAAATGTTTCTTGGCTGATAAGAGTCGACACTGATCTTGGTCAGGTTAATTTATTTGGCACTGCTACCCTGATATGGGTTGCCATACTTAATAGTTTATCATTATGACCATATTTCAACGATTATTTTTAGGACACGGTTTTGGACTTCCGTTGTTTAGCCAAAATTTATGTGAACTTTAATCTCAACACAAAATTTTAGCTAAAAATTTAGAACAGTAACAAAGATACAATGTAAAAACTTCTTATTTGTATTAAGCTGTTATAATAGAGAAATTAAACAATTTATTTTAATGGCTATTAATAACAATGTTTTGATGTTGCTTCTGTAATGCTGGATTTCTTACAGTCAACAATGTGGGCATGATGTACGAACACCCCGAAACACTTGACCTTGTGCCAGAGGAGTTGCTGTGGAATCTCCTGACCGTCAATATAGGAGCCGTTACCATGATGACCCGAAAGATCCTGCCGCATATGATCGGCCGTCGGAAGGGCGCCATTGTCAATCTGGGATCCTCTTCGGAACTACAGCCCCTGCCCAATATGACTGTCTACGCGGCCAGCAAGAAGTTCGTTACGTACTTTTCCAAGGCTCTGGAACTGGAGTTGTCCGAGCACAACATCCACGTACAGCTGCTGATGCCCAACTTTGTGGTAACCAAGATGAATGCCTACGCCGATCGAGTGATGCAAGGCGGTCTGTTCTTCCCCAACGCCTATACATATGCCCGCTCCGCCGTCTTTACACTGGGAAAAACAAGTGAGACGAACGGTTTCTGGACTCATGGGATACAGGTGAGTACATTCATAACTTTAAAGTATATAACTCGAGATTTTAGATTGAAAGTGTTCTTGGGTAACCTTAAGAACCGAAAGCAAAGAAAAAAGTTACTCATACGTAGTGTTGTCTCAAGATACATATTTTCTTTTTTTGGATTTTTGGATTTTTACTTAATTAAATTTGTTAGAAAATTTATTTTGGTGTTGTTTAAATTAAGAATTATACAAAATCTTTTTCAATTACAGTACGCCTTAATGAAGCTGGCTCCGCTGCCGATTCGCACATACCTGGGACATCAGCTCTTCAAGCGGCTAAGAATCGAGGCCCTCGAGCAAAAGCAAAAGAAACTTAAGCTTTTTTAACTCGTTAAGCTAGGTTAGGAGTCATGTAAATATTTGGTTCTTAGTCATAAGGCTTAAGCTATAATCTAGACAATTATTTTGTATACAAGCCATTGAAAAAATAAAAATATAAAACAAAAGACAAAAGACAAAGGCACGATCCAAAAAACCGGCTGGCAAAATCAATTGCCAAAATGCACTAAACTCTGCCGGATTGCATAACCACTGCAATTCGGTTACAGGGGTGTGGAGCGGGGGGCTTGGACGGTTTCAGCGTGAAACCGGTTGGCCAGCGCGCGAAACTACTGACCGACAAAATGGCAAAGTGGCCAACTGCAGACGGAAGCCGTCCGAAGAGAAGACCAACAAAATATCCGCTTCATTGCCTGCACTTTTCGCTTGTTTCGGGCATTGTATACATTTATGATTGGCGTCTTGCTGTTTTATTATCTCTTTGGGGCAGTATTTAAAGGCCTCGTTTTGCATGCCGCATGCAAATGAATGATCAATGATCTCTCGAGGAACTGCCCACAATTACGCAGACTTACATTACAATGCAAGTGACTTGCACCTTTCTGATGGCGGAATTATTTATGGCGTCCACTAAAATAAATTAAGTTCTATTTGTTATGCGTAATTTGAATTTCAGAAAGTTCTGAACATAAGACAAGATTGGTTTTTAGTATTTTAAAAAATGTATCCGCATTAAAATGTTTCCTTCTGTTGTTTATTATGTTTTACAAATTTGCATTGCAATTAAAAATTTTAAAATTTATAAATGATAGACTACAAATCAAAAATATTTTCATTATTTTTTTTATTTATTTCACCTAAATATATATTTTTATTGCTTATGACAGACTGACTACAAGTAAAGAAACCTGTAATAAAACTTTTTACCGATTCGAAACCAGTGCAAGCCTAAAAGTATGCATTCAAAATATGCTACCAAATGTTCAATCAAAATCACAATGCCATTTTATAATCAACTGTTGACACAATGATAATTAATTTTTGACTAAACTGTCCAAACTATAGTTAATAAATATAATAAAAAACTATTTTTAGTTTTGTGTTTTGTTTTTATTCCTGCAGTTGTTGTTGCTTTTTTTTGCGGTTGTTATTCACAAGTAATTTAGGAAAAGTCGAGTAAAATGCAGTTATACATTATGTATGTCTTACAAAGTACGAATGCGAAATAAATTTGTTGTTTAACAATGAAATAACCAATTGTTGATGGTTTACATTGATTGCTGCTGTTGCTCTCAATTTGCTTATACTGTACATCATGGTCTATGAATTGCAAACTAAGTAGATTCCATTGCCAAACAGAAATAAAAAGATCACAAAATTAAATTTATGATTAGAGCAGATGACGCCAAGGTCGGCAGCAGAGTTTTTCGAATGGATCGATCTTGCGGCGCCTCAAAGATGGAAGAAATGTGGCGAGGCACTGCGAAAACACACAAACGGAGAAATGTTGAGGGAAATATTTTATTGAAGCGCATCCCAGGGATCGTTATTAATGGTACTTACCACTTAGCAGGGGTTTGACCATCGATCAGCAAATGCTCATCATGATCGGCGAGCCTCCGATTTCCGCAGCTGGTGGCTTTGACGTCATCTGCAAATGTGCATTAGACAAGTATTTATTTGCAAAATTCAATTTATAAAAGCACTCGATTTACTGATTGTAAAATAAAAATAAATGTTTTCCTCTGACGTGAAGTCTTTGCAATTGATATATGCATATATATATAGATATTCTTTTTCTGTTTTGTTTGTTCAAGTGGCCACATTGGCACAAACAATAGCCCGCGTTGCGTTGCGTTGTTTGTTTCAAAGACCATAATCTTCTTTGAGATTTATTTTTGGTTCAAAATAATAACTCACGGAGGTATTTCGAAAGCAGATTTGACTTTCTTGAAAATAACACTGCTATACTCGAATCTTATTTGCAAGTTTATCTATCAAACTGCTTGAAATATTCGAAAACATTTAATAAAAATTAATTATAATTTCCACCTTGGCCAATCATAAATTCTGGCCATAAAAAACTGTCTCTTTGAACATTTTTAAGCTTGCGCACTATGGGGGATATTTTCGGTCGAAAGTGTTGAATCACAAAGTTGCGACATTCTGTGAAAATGATTTTTAATGCTCCCAAATGAAGGGGGCCTGCGACGCCAGGAAGGTGTTTAGTGGGCCATGTCGAAATGTAGTCGTTAAAAAATAGAAACGGAAAATCTATTTATTATCGAGCTGCCAAATGGGTGCCAAAAAATTTAGTTAAGGTTTTTTTTTAGGCATGTGGCAGAATATTTCGATAATCTGTTTGATGTGTGCGACTGATAATTGAATTAATTGGGAGGGGGTTGTATTTTCTGTTTCTGCTTACCTGACTTAGGTTACTAGTAGAAATCCATTAAATGCTAAACATCTTAAACGCGTAGGGTCCTAAAAGCTCCACCGGGCCACAAGATGATGACATGGCCGGCGGCTTGGAATTGAAATTCAACATGTAAGCTATCCTTGATGGGGGTTATGGGTGGGCTGGTGACTTTGGATGGGCCTAGAAGGCGGCTTCGTAGAAGGCGTAGAGCAGGAACAGCAGGAAGGCCAGGATGAGGAAAGTGGTGAACAAACTCTTGGCCTCATTCATTTTGGTTTTGTTTCTCCGGCTGCTGGCTGCTGTCTGGATTACAAGGGGATAATACGGATTAGGTAAGCGATTGATCGATCGACAGCCACAAATCACACACACTTGGGGATGGGTATCTAGTTCTTTTTGGAGAGATTTCCAACCGTTCGTAGCTAAAGGCGCGCAATAACTGAATTTTCCGATCTAAATTCCACTTCCACTTCTCCACAAAATGTTGGCCAGCGCTTGGAATTATTGCCCAGGCGCACGCACGCACCCACATAGATCCGGTTATATGGACGATATATAAAAAAATTCATATACATATAGGTATATCACCGGCTATTTGCTTGTATAGGAGTCCAGTTGTTGCTCATATTTTTTGACGCGGCACAAAATTTTTCTAGATTTTTATATATATATATGGGGTCTATATATTTGCATTACATATATTCGGATTCCATGCGATTGTAGCCAATATATTCTCTGTTCTTCGAACATTATTCATTTGCTGGACTGCACCTAGACAAATTGCTTTTTTCCGACGGATCTTGTCATTTGAAAAATGTTTTATTTATTTATTTTTTGGTTTATGTGTTGAATAAGATGCTTTCTTCTCCAGCTGTTTGTTTGATTAACATATTTATTTACTTTTAACAGGAAAATATGTGGATTTCCCTAATTTGTTGTTTGAAAAGTTTTGAAATTTTGGAAGAATATTGTATAAGCGGGTACATCACGTAGCCCCATTGATTTTATGGCACATTCTGGCCTTAATAAGTATTTCAAGGTTTGTGATTGATGTGAATTTATCTCGAGTAAATTCAATTGGAAAATGGGTACATGATCTAATTAAATAATAGAGGTTGCAAGTTCTTTACGATCCATAATAGGTATTACTTGTCAGACTTTCACGCATTTATTAGCTTAAACGGTTAGATAATCCATCTTTACCCTCTTAATATACATATTTTCTTACCTGGTATCCTGCTCTAAGGACCTCTTTCCTGCCACCAACATTTTACAAGACGGCATAGATGAGGTAAAGGAAGAAAAGAAGGATGGCCAGAATGCCGAAGGTGGTGAACAGGTTACGTGCTTCACTCATGTTGATTGGGTTTGCTGCTGAAAAGTCGTTAAAATATATTTAGATTATGTTTAATAATTTTGAAAATGTTCGAAAATAGACGAAATATTTTTTATTCGGCGCGTGAGAAGTTTAATGTGATAGAAACATAAAAAAGGCGGCAATAAATTCTCGCGATACCCATTTGATTTTGTTTTAAAATAAGCTAATCAAATAAAATCCCAACACATAGGTATAGGTATAGATATTTATATAAAGTCGATAGATATGAAAGCCATATGGCAAATATACAATTTTTTGGTTTTTGTCTACGTCTGGTTATATATTTTTGATGGTTCTGTGCTCTTTGTATTGCTGATAGAGCAATCAAAGAACCATATGTCTATATAGATTGAAATAATTCCAGTTTTATTGATTGGACCGGTTCCAACAAAAATTGAAAAAACACCAGTGAGGAAATATTTACGAACACGGCACATTTGAAATCGATTTCATAAATTTTGTTAAGCTTTCAGCATTTGACTGGGATCTTTAGGTCACTTCACTTGTCTCCTGGTTTACCTTTTATTTTTTTGTCCGCTGGGGGAAGACACAATTTCGTGCTATTAACTGCTGAAAGCCTTTGGCTCAACTAAAATCGTTGGCCAGTCCACAAAATGAGATATAGATGAAATACTTAGCGGTCTGCAGGCATCCATACACACGCAGTTGGGGCAGATCTGACAAGTGGATATAGCTTCGTGTGCGTGTATTTGTGCTTTTGGATATATAACCAAATATTTTGTCCCATTGGCCAAAATGAGACGCCACTGCCAGGGCAGAAGGTGCAGACTTTTTGGAAAGTCGCGCAGAAATAACATCGATAATAAATAAAATACATTTTCGGCGCACATTTTGACAGTTTTCGAGCAGCCGCTGGCCGGATCTGAAGCCAAACCTCCAACAATAACAATACGCTCATTAAAAATAATTCATGCATCTAGTATAAAGTTTGTTCCATTTTCGAAACATTTGCCTTCAAATTATTGACAGCGTTTTGGAATTTCCGCCAGTGCAAAGGAACTAGAAATTAGTTTACCATTTGGCGTGGGATTTGAAAGGTTTTTGAATGGGAAACATCAATGAACTCTGTTCTTAACCTTTCTAAATACCTTTTTATCTTAATTAGTGCAAAGCACACTCTACATCGTCATACAATAATCGTTAGTTGACAGATAAATACCAGCAGCAATTTTCATAAACAACATTTCGGGTCCTTGACTTTTCTAAAAAAACGTACACTTTCCCTAAGCTGACACTTGTCATTAAGTCAATTTGAAAATGCAATGCGCAAATGGCGCAAAAACGGAATAGCTTGACATAAAAATATATATATTAATAATGACCAAGACAATTATGAAAAGTTGATGAAATTTCGTTTATTTGAACTAAAACATTGATGAAATCGTAAAGTGAACTTTTGAGATAGCTGAAAGATATTCAGAAAAAATAGTAAACAATTTTAACAAGCGTCAAAAGAATTGTTTGTGCTTGAAATATAATTTTTTTAGGAATATATGTATTTTTGCTTGAAAAATAAGAATGAACCTAATGGAACAGTATTTTGTTTTGCTATTTGAGCTAATGCAGCTGTGACCACATTGCGTATGCGTAATTTTTTTAATTCTTAGTTAAGCTTGTTAGAATTTATGATGTTTGAGAGCGTTTTTGAGATAAATTTGTAGGTTTTTTTGCATTAATAAGTTCCGTGTTAATTTCATATTTTGTAATTTTAAATTAAATCTACATTATTCACTTTATATTTACCTTCTGTTAATCTTCGCAAGCCTTTTTGAAACGTTATAAATAAACAATGCCATCTTTTAATTCATAAACAGAGTTCGCTAATAGCCGATGTAAGCAAAACGGAATGGCAAAGGTCTTTAAGGTCAAGGCGAGCCTCTATAAAGAGAGTAAAGAGAACTGGGAGAACTGTGATAGAATCAATAATATATAGCTTAATCCGCAGTTTCTGTGGCTTATCAATTCATTAGAGAGTAGGTCTAAGCAAGTCGAAAATTTTGCGCAGTTTTCGCGAAACAAAACAAACGAGCGGACCACAATAAAATATAATTAAAATGCGCGGGATTCTTCAGTTTGTTTTTCTCGCTAAAGTAATCCATATAGTGGGATCCCACAATGTACGGGAATCTGTTGCGGAAGTGGAATCAGATTCGGAGGTTGAATCTGGACAGTTCTTTAGCCATCTGTATAAGAGCAATCTGCAGCAGATGGTGAAAATCAAGAATGACTCACTGGATCCGTGTGATGATTTTTATGCCCACGCTTGTGGAAATTTCGAACAAACAATGGAAGAGGATCCAGATGAAACCTTGCCACCGTATCTCTATAACAAACAGGACAGGATGACCTTCTTTTCGGCTCAGGTTGGCAATTTTGAGACTCCACCTGGCAAATTGATTTCACAACTTTATGCGGAGTGTCGAAAGAGGGGCGAGAACCATGTTTTCGGTGTAAGCCCTTCAAGATCCCATTATGGGCGTCTTCTGGAGGAGATTCCCTTCCTGGCCGCACATAAAGAGGTGCTCTCTTCTTGGCCATTTCTCAGACATCAATGGGAGCGAAGGCATCTTAATGGGCAACTTAATTGGATCGTGCTGTCAGCCCAACTGGCAGCTCATGGTTTACCCACTCTACTCCGTATTTATTTTGCCCTGGAAACGATTTATGTGAGTCCAATGGAGGATCTGCCCTGCCCGAGTGTGGATGAGTTCAAATCAAGCCTCTCTGATGTTTTAAAGGGTCGTCATCGTCAGGTGTCACATATAATAGCCCATGAGATGAGGGTTCTATGTCGCGGAATGAGAGGAGAACTCTCATTGGTTAGGAGTTTGACCAGCAATAGAGGTACCACCACTTCCAAACCCAGGCAGGAACAGCTCCTGCTGGATGAAAATACCATAGACTATTTTCAAATCTTTTTTGCGGCACTAAACTTTTCCAAAGAGCAGCTGGAAATAGCTCGAAAATTTCCCCTCGATGTGGAGAAGATCAGCCAGGCCTGGGATGTGCTAAGGCAGACAGAACCCCGAATAGTTTACAACTATGTGATGTGGCAGGCCAGGGAACAACTCCGGTATCCGGATTGCTATAAAATATCCGAGGAATTCGAGAGGTTGTTGCATTCGGAATACTGGCAATGGCATGTCTTAAATTCCCATCTGAGTCGAGAGGTTGCTTTAGCCTCCTATCAATTGCATACGACTCGATTTCAGAAGCTGAGAAGATCCAATCTCTCCAGGAGAGATTGGTTTGGTCACTTGTGGCCAGCTTCGGTGGAGAAAAAAGAGCTTCAGGTGGCACGCATCCTTCAAGCACATGCTCAAAACTATCTCAATATAACTGAGCTTAATGAAACCTACGGAAATTTGGGTTTCGTTAATAACTCTTTCCATGGAAATCTTTTGATCCTTAGACGGGCTCAACTACGTCATAGTTTCGTATCGCCCTATGTGGACGAGGAGGATGTGAACCAGTCAGCCTATTTCCTCAGGCATTTTCTCCACTTCGTGCTGCTTTCATTGCATCGTCCAACTTATCATTATTATGCCACCCAGGGCTTGGAGCTTTGGAGGCAATCGCGTCTTCTTTTGGACACCGATGGTCGCTATTCCGCCATGGATTGCCTTGAAAAACAATCTTTCCAGAACTACAATGCAGAATCAGCTCCTATTTATCGACCACTCAGTTCGGAGGAGATCGGGGAGATCTTTCACTTCTATCGATCGTTTCAGGCCTCTTACAGGGACTATCACTTCTGGCTTCAAGGTGAAAGATTCGCCTTTGCCGAGACCTTAGTGCTGCAGTTCTTCGGATTGGATCCGCAGAAGGTGCCCTTCTATGCGGTGGCCCAACAATTGTGCAATCGGCAGACGGAGATCTTCGCCGCTCAACTGAATAGGGGATACATGAACATGCCTGAATTCCAGAACGCCTTCAAGTGCCGAACCGAGAAGCCAATGAATCCCTCATCCAGATGCATGATCAACATGTGTGAATAGCAGTGTATTGCTTAAACAATAAAATACAAGTATTATACAACGATATTTTAAGCATAGTTAAAATATATAGAATTTCGGGTGAGGTGTTAAAGCCCAATTAATAATTTGTTTTTTCTATTATCATACCTAATGTAAAACAGCTAACTAAAATGTTCTAATACGAATGTCAATCTTTCTTAATTTATTAAAAAGTCCATAGATTTTACATATGAAGATTTGCTATTATGGATTTGACAATATTCCCTATCCAAGGCACACATGTCGCTCATTTAAAGACACACGGCGGGAAATGTCCGTCCATCTAACCATTTATTCGCTTTTTTTTTGACATTCCATAGAACAGTTTATTGGCATGCATATATGTATATTGAATATATATTTTGGTTGCGAGTGGATTTCGAGAGGAAAAATCGTGGGCGTTCTAGACACACGTACCGGTAATGAATTGAAAAAAAAAACAAAATCGAAAACGATTCCAGAAAACCATTCAAGCAGAAACGCTCATCTTTGGGACTGCGAACTATTTCAAATGTTTGCTTTTCGCACGTTCAACCATATTATGGCCATAATATGCATGCTCCAGTTAAGAAGATATATGGTGCAAATAAAATTACAAATCCCATTCAAGTTTGTTTTCATTGACCCGGGTCGGGAAACATCCCATGTTATCTATGTGGGTCTTCGAATCGAGAGTGAGTCAATAATGGTACAAGATTCTCGGTAAGACTCGATTCCTATAAATGCAAAAGACCTGCGAACATTCCCCTTTGTACGTGCGACAAGATCGCTTGCGATGACAACAAAAAGTTTTCATTCAGTAGTAAACGTTGATAATTGAAATCACAATCACGTAGGTGAGTGTATGTGTGTCTATGAGTGCTTTTTGTTGACTGAGTGAGTGCTGTGTGAATGCATTTATGAGTTCATCCAAGAAAATTATAAACAAAATATAAAGATGTTTGGATCTTGAAAGAAATTTTCTTGGGTTTTAAAAATGTGCATCCTTATTTATCACAGCTCATAAAGCACACAAAGCCGCTTTAAACATTTCTGTTTTTTCTACATACTTTGTAAACCCATTCTGAAATAGTTTATTTATGACATTTTTTTCTGTAGCTTTAATTCTCATTTCGGTTTCACTTTTCCACCCGCAACTCTCACTTTACAGCCGCGCTCAAACACACACCATCAAGCGTACTCACTCATTTGCATATCTCATTACAATTTGGCCAAAATCGACTTGACTTCGGCCAGCCGGCCTTTAGTTTCTCCAACGTTTTCAGCCCGAACGCTTCAAGAAACTGGCAAAGAAATTGATTTTCAATTATTATTTCAAATCAGTTGGAACAGAGGATTGAATTACCAGATAGCTGAAAAGATGCACTTGCGGTTTGTCATCGCTTGGCTGCTTCTAGGTAGGTAAATCCGATCCAATTTGTGATGGTTAATTTATGTTTACATTATTTCCAGCCAGCTGCAGTCAGAAAGCATTTGGTAAGGGGTTTCTAAACCTAAAACCGGTGCCAATTCATGAGGATGAGAGCACCACAGAGGGTTTTGCACCTGCCACACCATCAACTGCATCAAACCCCTCGAATAGGGACATCACAATCGGTCCTTGTAAATGGGCCATTGGTCGTAGTTGTCCCGATCCGGATGTCAAGTATTACATCTACACACGCCACAATCCGATGGACAGACAGTGCCTTCATATCGACGAGTCCCTGGAGAAGTCCAATCTGACAGACTCCTACTTCAATCCCAGATACCCCACAAAGATCATCATCCATGGCTACAACTCGGACATGTTTCTGCATCCACTGCAGCAAATGAGAGAGGGTGAGAGTTTGGACTGGAATAAATTGTTGTCACAAAATAGATTATATTATAAATTAAATTATGTTTATGTTATTTAATATTTAATATTCTAGAATACCTGGCCAAGGCGGACTATAACATCATCTATGTGGACTGGAGTGTCCTGTCGCCAGGACCCTGCTACATAAGTGCGGTTCACAACACCAAACATGCTGGCACCTGCACCGCCCAGCTGGTGGAACGATTGGTGGAGACGGGTAACACGGACATCCATGTGATTGGCTTCTCGCTGGGAGCTCAGGTGCCCAACTATATAGCCCGGAACCTGAGCTCGTTCATGCTGCCAAGGATAACAGGATTGGATCCGGCAATGCCGCTTTTCATCACCTCCGGCAGAGCGGATAAACTGGATGCCAGTGATGCCAGCTTTGTGGATGTGATACACACGAATGCGTTGGTCCAGGGAAAAATGGAGAGATGTGGTCATGCGGATTTCTATATGAACGGAGGTATCATGCAACCGGGATGTAGTGGCCAGAAGATCAGTAAGCACTTACGTTGTCTATGAAAATGTATATCCTTATAGATGGTTTTCCCCTTCCAGACTCCTTTGCTTGCAGTCATCAGCGGGCTCCCGCCTATTTCCTGGAGTCCATCCGCTCACCGAAAGGTTTTTGGGGATGGGCCTGCAGTGGCTATATATCGTATCTCCTGGGGATGTGCCCGCCCACAAATTTCCTGCTGGAGGCTGGGGACAACATACGGCCCACCACAAGGGGAATGTTCATGATAGACACCAACGATAGCTCTCCATTTGCTCTGGGCAAGTGGACGGACTTGCCCACCTTGGGAGCAAAGTATCAACACTGGCGAACGCCGACGCAGCGGCTTAAGGCGCCGCCCAATCAGGGTGTGGATCCCCTCCTGCATCACATCGATCAGTTTGGAAAACTGGCAGCCAATTTCAACAACCTACCGATGTCTCCCGGTGGCCAGGATCCCTACGAGCACTGGACTAGCTTCAGCCCGGAACAGAAAGAAAACGACGATGTCAGCATCGATTCTGTGGAGGAGCAGGACACGGTGGAGTTTGCCGATTCAGATGATCGCCAGTTGGGCACGCAGGCTCCAAACGTCAGCTGGTGGGATTACAGAAGGAATCTCACCTATGGATTCATGGAGAACAACATATTTACTGTGCCAACAGTGGAGTAGCTGTAATTGATGCTATAAGCTATCTAAAACCCCTTCCTTGCCCCATTCCTTACTAATAGTTAAGTGTCACCTAAGCTGATATTCATATTTTCAATACAATGCGATTAAAACATATTTATTAAACTATTTTTTTTTAAGGAAATATATAGAAAAATCCTCTGGTCTTGACAAACGGAAGATCAACTTTTTGCGGTTTATTAGATTTAAGTCAAAAACGATAACAACATTGCTGCAGTTAAAAAAAAAACAAAAGCCAAGGCAAAACAAATGTTTATGGTTTCAAATCGGACAATCAACAAAAATGTGCTTGCATCATCTATTTTAGATGTTTATGGTTTAGAAATATTGTTTCTTCAGTTGATTTCGTTGCGGAATTTCAATGGTTTTTTTTTCAATTTAATTCAATTTCAGTTTAATCTGTACTATTACATAAATTAATATTATTAATAATAATTCGTTGGATGTGCACATCGATCGTACACAATCGATGACTCAAAATCAGATTCAGTTTGGGAAACACAGTGAAACTGTAATTCAAGCATCGTATAATTAAACAATTCCGAATACAAGCTGTTTTGTATATATTGTAAATTGTAATAAATTTGTTGCCATAATATTTAGAAATGGACTTGTAGAATGTAGGCAGTCGGGTCGATCGATGTAAGTGTAAGCGTTTGCCTACGTTCTATGGTCTGGTTTGAAATCCGTCGAGAAGATCCGGGGTGGGTACATATATATATATTAACCTTTGGGTATACATCTGTGTGTATAAAAGGGTAATTGCCATTCAATCGAACCGACCCGACCGCCTGCTGCCCATCTCCGTCCTGACTACTGAGCTTACACGTAAAATGCTAATCCGTTATCCGTAATGTTAATGAGTCCCCGCCCTAGACCTTCTTTTTGACCGCCCGCTTGGCTCTGGTCGGCGTGGCAGCCACCGGCGGAACGGGCTCGGCTGGCGGGGGAACTTCGGCGGCGGGAGCTGCTTTGACTGCCGCTTTGGTTGGCGGTTTGACTGGCGATTTAACTGGTGGGGGTGCGGTTTCCACTTCTTCCTTTTCAAGGACCTCCTCAGGCTCCGTCTTGATGTCCACATCCATTTCTGGGTGCTGAGAATCGCTGGTCGCCGACATGGGGGATGGCGGTGCGCGCTCTTGGTCGGGATCGTCGTCCTCCTGTTCGTGTGACGTGTTATTTGTGCTGGCCTCCTCCTCCTCAACGACAGAAAGGTGGTAGAGCTTCATCTCCTCGTCGGAAATGGGAACTGGAGCGTTGGAGAGCGGATCACGCCCATTCAGTGACTTGGGGAATGCAATCACATCGCGTATCGATCGCGCGCGGCACAAGATGGCTATCAGGCGATCCAAACCTAAAGCAATGCCACCGTGAGGCGGGCAGCCAGACTCCAATGCGCTTAGTAAGTGCGACAAATGATCGTGCGGGATCTTCAGAATCTGTTCCAGTATAAAGTGTTGCATGTCGCGATCGTGGATGCGTATGGAACCGCCTCCGACTTCCTGGCCGTTCAGTACCAGATCGTAGGCCTGGGAGCGTATGTTCTCCAAGTTTTCGCAGCTGGTGGCAAAGTTATCCAGATCATCGCTGTGCGGCAGGGTGAAGGGATGGTGAACACTCTCTAGCTGGTTGGTCTCACGATTGCGCTCGAACAGCGGGAAATCGATCACCCACAGGAAACGGAAGTCATTTGGCTTCTTCACCTTGGCGTTCTCGACCAGAAAATCGTGATAGTCCAGTCGTATGCGACCAAGCATTGCGCGCTGTGATTACAAAACAAGTTATTAAAGCCACAGAATGTTAACAAAGAGTCGGCAGTGACTTACAGTTTCCACTTTCGGGCCAATGCCCAGGAAGAGCAGATCGTTCTCCTCGAGATCAAACTTCTCGGCGACCTCGTTGGCCACTTCCTCGCCCAGCAGCTTGCCCAGCTTATCCTGCACATCCTTCGTCGGACCGAACTTGCGCACGAACAGCGTTCCCTTGAAGTCCTTGCCCAGACTTTCGTAATGCTTGCGGGCAGCTCCATTCCAAAAGGCTTCACTAGCCCGCACAACGAT